CCACATATACCACATACTTTCACAGGTCTATTACATATACCACATACTTTCACAGGTCTATTACATATACCACATTCTTTCACAGGTCCATCACATGTACCACATTCTTTCACAGGTCCATCACATGTACCACATTCTTTCACAGGTTCACCACATATACCACATACTTTCACAGGTCTATTACATATACCACATTCTTTCACAGGTCCATCACATATACCACATTCTTTCACAGGTCCATCACATGTACCACATTCTTTCACAGGTTCACCACATATACCACATACTTTCACATGTCTATTACATATACTACATTCTTTCACAGGTCCATCACATATACCACAATCTTTCATCGGTCCATCACATATACCACATTCTTTCACAGATCAATCACATACACCACATTCTTTCACATTTTCGTCTCATATACACAACCCATGCACTACATAACCTAAACTTTTCATTTCCGAGTTGTTGCTTTCAAATTATATCTTGTAAACATTTACTAAATCCCCAATAATAAATCCCAAGGTATTACATAAATGATTATCTGTATCTGGTCATGTGACTAGAATTAATAAAACCGAGACAAATGTGTACTTGAAGTTGTTCTTATACAAGTTAGAGCAAATTTTCAGATTTCCCATAATTCATAGGGCATGGTTATTTTAGTTATATCAACAGAACAGTGTGTATTTTTTGAATAGGTGTGTCCTTGCATATGACGCAGTCTCACAGCTCACGTTTTTGCTGTTTGCGGTTATTAGGTAAAAGAAAATTACAGACCAATTTATAAACTCACAGTGCATAGAGTTGCCCAAGGGACTCAACTTTTAAGTAGCATTTAAAACCAATTCGATTGTCTCCATAATTATACTGTTTTTTTGTGTTTTTTTTTTTTGTTACTAATAATGTATCTTGGGGACTGTATATCTCCCAATTACTGTTTTTCCGTGTTTTATTTGTTCTTAAAATTACGGTTGAATTTAAATGAGTTTAGTTTTATTTTTTGCTCGTATTCGCTTTTTTACATGTAGGCTTCTCTGTTCATGTTTGCATGCATCCAGCCTGAGTGTATCGCATTATTGTGTATTCTATGGTATATACATGAGGTCGACTAGTAAAGGAATTTAAGCTCTTAATATTTCGCTGGGGGTAAATTCCATTGGACAATAACTTTGCGTTTTTCCTGTAGCGTTAAACCCTACGGTAACGAACATTTTGAATTGGCACAACCCCATATATTTGCGGTTCATAATTAGCTCCGCTGTCGACTTTGTCGAGCGGAGCTTATCATATGAGTGATTTACGTCGTCGTCCGTCGTCCGTCGTCCTGCGTCCATCGTCCGTCGTCCGTGTCAATGTTTTACTTTTTCTACAAGCCTGAATGCTTTGATACTTGGTGTATATGTACCTTGGGTAGACCTCTCTCGGATTTGTTCATTTCATGATCTTATCTTCAATTCTCTAATTTTGGTGCATATTTTTGTCATTTTTGGTAAAAAGTGATATTTTCAACTTCTTGTTAAAAACCGCAAGTCCAATTGCTTTGATATTACATATTTAGGTACTACATGTGGACCTCTCTCAAATTTGTTCATTTCATGATATCTTTAATTTTCTAATTTTGGTGAATATTTTTGTAATTTTTGGTAAAAACTGATATTTTCGACTTTTTGTTAAAAACCGCAAGTCCAATTGCTTTGATATTACATATATAGGTACTACATGTGAACCACTCTTAAGTTTGTTCATTTGTATGATGATATCTTCAATTCTCCAATTTTGATGAATATTTTTGTCATTTTTGGTGAAAAGTGATATTTTTGAATTCTTGTTGAAAACAGCAAGTCCC